ATCACAAATTATCATCGCCTGTTCTCCCTACCTACTTTGTGTCAGTGTTTCATGTTTCCTCAATTGTCCAATCATAATCATTCAATGATTGTCCTATGATGAATTTGGTTTGGAGTCCAATCGAAGGACAACGGCTTTGTCTGGAGTCCCCAGTCACATCGATCTGGATGACCTTGCTCAAAAAGTCTTGGCTGACAAAGCTTTCAAGAAAGCAATCAGGAGATTGCAGAGCAACATCCACGCCCTATGGAACCAAGATCACGAGTATGCAAATCTGGAGAACCAGGCTTTCAAAGGCATCAAGCAGGTGAAGGATTCCTCTGACTGTGCCTCTCCTCTGTCAGTAGATTTGCAGTCTATCATTCTGCCAGCCATCATCGACAAGAAACTAGTTTCATCACCGACAGGAGCTGACATTGAAAGCACAGTTGAATGCCTCGCGGCACTGGACCTGTTGGATGCCTTCTTTGCTCTTGCGGTGAAGAAGCTTGGTGAACAGCCTCAGCAGCCTGAGGGGGGAAACCCTGTGACGGCAACCAATGGCAACACACGCCAGCAACCCCAGATTTTGGCTCTGGAAGACGGCGTGGTCGACGATGAGAATGATGAGGCTAAGTCAAAGTCTCAGGCAAGTGCGGCTGTGGCCTTTGCTCTGTCAGCCTTCAACAACAGGAAGTTGAAGCAGGAAGTTCCGGACTCGGCACCAACACCAGCAGCACAGGGGCGGTCACAGCCAGCAGCAACCGCAAACCCAGCCAACCCAGCACCAGCGCCCGAGGCTCTGGCTCCGGCTCCAACAAACCCAGCCGCAGCAACATCAGGAGTGACAGTGACAGCCACAGTCACATCCACAGCAGAACCGGCAGAACCAGAACCTAAGGAACCAAAGCCAGATTCCGGACCCAAGCCAATGGCGCCAGCCCCGTCAGCACCAGCAAGCTTGGCTGCTCCCCAGCCAGCAGCCACAGCAGCAGCTACAGCCAATCTGACTCCAGCCCCCCCAGATCCCACATTGGAGGATGTGGAAGTGGAAGCGACAGAAGCAGTGGAAAACGAAGAGACAAAGCCACCAGCAGCAGCAGCAGCACCTACAGACACTCCGACCCCAGCTCCCACATTCCAGGAGGATGAAGTCCCTTGGCCTTGGCTGTGGGAACAAAAGTACAAGTTTGGCTGGGAGTCAGATCTGTGGTGTGGGATTGTGGATTTGGGACCTCTCAGTGACCTTGCCGTGGTAGACTCTGGCGGGGATGAAATCTTCATCGACACCGATGGAGTGCTATCTACAACACCTACCGAGGGGCAGTTTCCCATCAGGGTCTGGAACAAAGCGGCGCATGCAGCCCATAAGCAGAAGCAATTGGCAAACAACAGCGAAGAGCAAACTCGGTCGCAGCTACAAGCAACACAGCTTGGTCCAACAACAGCAACGGCAGCGGGCGCCCAGCAACAGCAAAAGGCAGTCGCAGCCGCGGAGGAGGAGGAGGGGCCGGGCAGCGTGGACGACGATGATGATGATGATGACTCCGGCTCCGGCTTGGGCGGGTCTGATGCTGATGATGATGCTCCCGCAGCTGCTGCAGCTAGCGTTGCTCCCAGTGTCAAGAGTTTGACATTCTCAGAAGCTGACAAAACGCTGCAGGAGCTTCGGCAGAAAATGTCTGCAGAGTCAGGTGGGGCCGCGGCCGTGCCCGCAGCAAAGTCAAAGTCTGGGAAGAGGGCCTTGGCAGATGATGATGATGAAGAAGAAGAAGAAAATGATGAGCAGCCCTCACAAATGAAGAGGCCGGCAGCGGCGAAAGCAAAAACCCGCCGCGCCAGGGGCAAGGCCAAGGCCAAGTCAGAACCAGGGCCCAAACGCAAACCCGCACCCAAAGCTAAACCAGCAGCAGCTGCCAAAAAAGAGCCACAGCCGCAGCGCAAGCAAAAGCCGAAGCCGAAGTCCAAGTCCAAGGCTCAGGCTGACAGTGACAATGAGCATCCGTTACAGTTGCAGCCTGAATTTTCCGGCCAGGGAAAGCAGCAGCCCAAGGCAGTGACAGCAGCAGTAGCAAAGGGCAAAGTATCGAAGATGGGCGAGACTCCCATGCGCAAGTTCTTCCAGAATAATTTCAACGACATCCAGTGAGAAACCATGGCTGAGCCTAGCTGAGTTTTGGAATTCTCCAATGAGCGACAATTAGATTTGTCGCCGCTGCCTGCTGATAGTGTCAACATCCATTTTGGAAGCCCGAATCCCCTGGATAGTCCACCGGTGTTGTCTACTTTGTAACGGAGATTCTCGACATGTTGCATTCAAATCGTTCAAACGCCTGGCTCGATGTTCATTTTTGTTTGGCCTCAGGTAACTTCACCCTCGATTTTTCCTCAAGCAAGCGCTATACATGTTTTATACGCATAACATGTGTTGACCTAAGCTGTATGATCTGTATGGTTCCTTTCCTCTTTGTTTGGACGGTTCGGGGCGCTGTCGCTAATACTTTTCCTGCTTCCATCATCACTGGAAGCCCAAGTAGCCTGGACCTGTGACCTGTGTAGTCTTTTTCAAGAAGCTTTTACAAAAAAACATCTATGAGCTAAAGTTGCTGTCCTGTGTTTTCGGACGGTTCGGGCAATAAAAAACGACATGAGTCGTGAGTCGTGAGTTGCAAAGCCGTTAGACGACAGGCTTGGTTAGCATCATCGCTGACAAAAGGTCAGTGTGATCAGCAAAATCGGGGGGGATGTTTACCCTGAGCGCATGTCGTACAGAAACCTGTGACTCTCGCTCCAGTTCCAAAAACAGGATAATGATCGCCGCTGGGGTTGCAGGGCTGGGGAGCTCATGGCAGTCCTTTGCAAAAGCCAGCGAATTCAAACCTTGCATTCCCTGTTTTTTGCTGTTTGAAACACACACATTGTGGCACACACTGGTTTTTGGACTGTGCGTGTCACGTACCAGCCGCTCTTAACGTACCTCACGAAAATGCATAGTTCACTTCTCCCTCTTTTACTAGCCTAAGGTGACTTGTGCATTACCTGCACACATAGCGCCTCGACTCGTGCAAAAAAGCGGCTCATATACCTCCTGCGCAACACGTGCATTGGTTGGGAGCATGAGACTCCATCGGTGTAATCCTGCAACCCCTGACCGTTCAGCAGCGCTTTGCGCTATGTGAAAGTCCAGGGGACTGTCGGGGTACGTGGCTGCGTACCCAAGGCCAATCAAAAGCCCTTCAGGCAGCTCCAAATCTACTTTCGACAGGTCACTATAGGTCGCTTGTAGTGCGCTGGCAAAGGGGGACTTGGCTATCGCGCCTTCTGGTCGGAACCAGGTGTGCCCCAGCGGCGCTCGACTGACAGTGTCTACAGCCTGCTCGATGTCATCTTGGCTGAAACCTTGGCAGTGTGTTGAACTCCTGGAACCTCATGAGGCATATACCAGACATGAGGGGCTCTTAACCCTATCGGAGCTTTGAGGAGGAGCGTTCTGTGAGCTCTCAGGTCTTCAGCCACTCCTCCTGGGCTTTGCTTGGGGTCGCCTAAGATGGCTCGGAAGAAGGGCCGCGTGGGGACCGCCGGAGCAAATGCAGACTTCAGATCCATGTCTTGTTGGGCCTCCTCGCTGACCAGAAAGTCTACATTCTCCATGTGCGCGTTGAGTGTCGAATGGCTTTGTTTTTGAATCCCACACTAAGCCGGTGGTGACTTTTACTACTCGGCTGCCTGGGATATGCGAGGCTGCTTGGCTGGCTTGCAGATCAAAGGCCGTGCTAGCAGCAGTGTTGGCCTCTGCCTCCTCCCTGCCTACTGGTCGGATGAAATATTGGCTTCGTGATGGCTCTGCCCGCTGGGTTTTCTTTGTGTACCACTGCAATCTTTAGATGGGTGGTAAGGGCTAGCCATGCGAGTGGAAATGTGAGAGAGCGTGTCTTGCCTGCCCCAAAGACTCCAGCAACGGCGAGGGTGGACCTGCCCGACCGTAATGCTAAGGCTAGGCGGGAAGCAAGGGAGGCTATGTGGCCATTGTCATTGCGAGCTGCCGTGCCAAGGGCTTTAGCAAAAGTAGCTGCCTGCGGACAATACGTAAGCGTATCACCCGTGGCCAGCATTGTAAACAAGGCACGCAAACTCTGCAGCGTGACCAGCGTACACTCAAGTTGATACGGAATGGGCACATGGCCGGGAATGCCCAGCACAGTGGGCTTATGCTCAGTCGGTAAGGTGGCCATTTGGATAAGGTGATCAGCGGTAACTGTGTCCCCAACTTCTGCAAAGGCAACCACACGAAACCGCGTTGGCCTGGATTCCATACCCTAAGTCACCGAAATTAGTAAATTTACATTTTTATTGGATTTACGTAAATTGATGAATTTAGGTGGCAAAAAGTGTAAATGGGTTAGTAAATGTAAATTTGATTTAGGTACAACCTAAATTTATTTAGTTTGGTCTTCACTAAGGGTTTTTCCTATTTTTCATTACTTTTTGATTTGCAAATATTCAAAACTGCATCTAAAACACATCTTTTGAAGAAAGTAATTTGTAAAACATATAGCCACAAGTAGAGACATTTGGATAAAACCACAAGCACACACACTCAGGTATAAGCACACAGGAAAGACAAGCGCAAGAAAAATGACTTAAATGACTTGGGTGAAACTGAAAAGCAGACATACTCAGGTAAACACGGTTCCCATTTGGAAGAACATGTGGCCACACAGTGTTTTGGGCTGCTACTTTTTGGTCAGCTGCTGTTCCAGAAAACTTCCTCTAACTTAAGCATTTTTTTCCTGAGGTGCAACAGGTGCCTGTACTTGAGACTGGCCACCTTGGTTGCCCCCCAGTGCTTGTTGCCTGCAAGGCAGCTTTTCATCAAGGTCTGTACAGCCCTCATTGTTTCCTCTCCTTTGAAGCACCATGTGACTGAGGGGTGTATCGAGTTTGAAAGAAGAAAGCTGTGTATACAGAAATGTGTCTTCGAGGTCATATTAAACAATGGCGTCTCCTCAGTGGCAAAATAATCACGCAGTTGGACATGCACCTGTGCCATTTCTCCCTTTGGGCATTGAAGAAAACTCTAAGTCCCTGTTTGTATTCATTGCCCTGAGGGTCGCACTCAACTTGGTAGGAGTGAGCTTTGTGTTTGGACACACTTTCACCAAGTCAAAAAGCAAACCGGCAACTTTGGACAACCACTCTCCATGAGGAGCTGTGTGCCATCCATAGGACATAGGGCCAGTGGGGGGTGGGCAGATCAAACTCCATAGATCCTTCTTCTGCTTGAACTGCAAGAACCCTGTGAGGGCACCTTGGATTGCAGTCACTGGGATGCTGGGGTCAGCCACCAATCGAAACCTCCCACTTTGCTTCAATGACCTCTCCTCTACAGCAGCTTGCATCTTTACCTGTGCAGCTGCTTCCAAAGCAGCCATGGTCACAAACCAAATAGAGCTAACAGCAACTCACAGAGCCAAAAGATCTCTCACATAAAACATGCACCCTCACACTGGCAAAAACCATCAGAGAATCATATCCTCAAGTAAATTTACTCCCTCAAGTAGACACCCTCAAGTAAAAATGGTTTGTTCAAGTCAAGAAGGGTACACATGCTCAAGTAAATGCAATCCCTTCAAGTAAAGGCAAAGTCCACACCTCCTGGCATGCTCAGTCAACAAAAACAAAAATCCATAGCGCAAATATCCTCAAGTACATGTTGTCCTGTAGAAAACCTGTCTCTTTGGAGAAAGCCAACTCACATAAATTGAGACATTTTCTGCTTCAAAATCACGCTCACAAAAATTTACTCATAACCTAAAAAAATTTACTAATAACCTAAATTGGATTTACTAATAACCTAAATTGGATTTACTCATGACCTAAATTGGATTTACTATTCAATTTACGTAAATTTTTACGTAAATTTTCCTTAGTAAAACCAAAAATTTACGTAAATTTTATGGTTAGTAAAATTACTAATTTGGGTGACTTAGGGTAACCTTGAGGCTGGGCGGGAACTCCCAGCTGACTTGACATGCACGGTTTGGGTGGGCAGGGGCGCGAAGTCTTCTGGAAAGGGAACAAGGGCAACATCCCAAGCCCTGGGGTTACTTAGTCTCCGGACCTTATCGATCGGCGACTCCTCTCCTTTTTGATTCGACTTCTTTCTGGCTTGTGTAGTAAAGGCAAGTAGGATTGCCAAAACCGAGTAGCATTTGTCTCCTTCCTGCAAAACAACTCGATAGGCTTTACCTACTTGACAGCCCATGTGAACATCGTTCGAGTTTTTGTCAGGCAACTGATCAAAGGTGAGGTGTTGGAGATGGGCCGGGCAAAAGGCAGCCGCTGTAGACCAAGGGGGAAAGGTAATGCGATATTCGTGCATCCCCTGGAGGCCGGCTGCAGTGGGTGTAATGTCAACCTGGAGGCCTCGCTGCTTCACCTCAGGGCTGGCCCATAGGCTTTGTTGTGTGCGCGCTCCATCGAGGAACGTGAGTTGTGGGAGGAAAAGAGCTAAGATCACAAAGACTTCTCTGAACGGAATGGGCGCCAGGAGATTTTTGGCCATTTCAGTTAGCCATAGAGCACATTCACTCTGGTTGTCCTTGCCTACTCTGAAGTTTCGTAGCAGAAGGGACTGCGCTTCTTCCATGGACTCAATTTCTTGCCCTGCTACACACAATTGAAGGAGACGGAGGAGTTCCTGGTCTGGCTGGTGAAGGTTTGAAACTAGCATGCCAATTGCTCCCTCCCAGTCAGTACTTGCCATGAGAGTCTCGAAACGAATCCACGATGCCAGCCTCATGGGCGCAGCAATTCGATCTCGGTTGGGGATGACCTCTGGGTGGGTTAATTTAAGATCAGTGAGTCGAAATTGCCCTTGCGGGAGCTGACAGTGCAGCCAGTGCCAATAATTGTGTTTACTACCACCCATCCAGCGCGCCGATTCTTCCACATAAGTGATGTGAAGGGTTTGTTGCAGCATACTGAGTTCTTTTTCATTCGGCTTCCAATCGCAGAGACAGTCCTCTGCTGCAGGAACCAGGTAGTAGTGGTGTTTGTCCGGGTCTGCAGTGGCTATCAAAGCAGCTAGGACTCCCTTGAGCATGGCAACGGCACCCAGCCTTGCTGTGACCTGACATTGCGGATCATGTGTTCAACCTGAAGGCCTGCTGAATCAGATGGAAAAGTTGCCTTGCCCTGAGCTCCTGGTCTGCTCCTCGCAACGATAGGCTCTTCCATGCAAAGTGCCTCTCTCAATTCTGGGCCATATTGATCGTGTATGAGTGTCCAGCCAACCTCCGAGCTTCTCTACCCAATCTGACTCCTGAAAGTTCTCGAGACCTGCCAACCCACTGCTTGAACGAGGGTAGTGGCATTGCTGGAATTCACTTGGTGTCCATTGTGAGTCGTTCACGTTCTGGTGACTCTAACAGGTGGTTGCTGGGTTCTGTGGCTGCTGTTGTTGGTTTTCTCTCCTCATAACATCAATCAAAGTCTGTCCCAATTGCAGCTGTTGTTGCATAAGACCTGCCAAAGGATCTACTCCCTGAGAGAAGGGAGTTGAGGTGGTGGAATGTTCCAGTTCCAGTTGGGTGGAAGTCCATGGGTTGCATCTCGTCCCTGTCCAGATCCTCCAACACTTGAAGCATCTGCAGAAGACCCACTCGCCCACTGTGTCAACTGTCCGATCTCATGGCCAAAGCTGAAAGCTGTCGGATCCCAACGCCAACCATGCTTTCAACAATACCACAAACTGAGAACTGCAAGATCTCCTTCTGATTTCTTTTCCGGTTGTGGCACAGCCGGAAGCCACTTGTCTGACTTGCTAAAAACATCTCGCTTCTTGTCATCGCGAAGACCATCAGCTCGTGGTCGACTAATTGAACCTTGGCGGTGGGGTTGGCGCATTCTTTCGAAGACGCTTGGCTCAGCTTCACCTGTCTCGTCAGCAGGGGTCTCTTCCATGGGGAGTCAACTGCATTGGCCACAGGGCAGAAAACTGCTACTTTTAAATCTTGACCTTTCGTGTGCGCTCAAAGTGATCAACATGCAGGCCTCGCATGCATTCGACTTAGTGCAGAATGCCCATCCAATGTTGGCCAAATCCTGAGCCTGAGCCATCCACATCCCATGTAAAAAGTGTGGGCGCGCCTGGTGTGGATCACCTAGTTCCTCTGGACAGTGGAACTTTTCGTTTTCCTGTCCTTGGCGTTGGAGTGGGGATCTTCCTTTTGGAGTCTTTGACCACTCAGCAGGACCAAGTGGAATGTGACTAGAAGTGGCCAGGAGCATATGTGTTTTGGACGACTGTAACCAGTCAGACCTCTTCAGAGAAGTGGATGAACAGACACACAGTCAAACCGACTGTAATGTTTGGCTTGAGCAGGATTCAAAAAGAGCTCCGTGTTTTCACAGCGGAGCCCCAAGGATCCCAAGGGTGAGAGGCAGACGCTTTGAGAGAAGGAGAACTGTTTGTAGGGTTTTCTCTGAACCGTTTTTGTGAGCCATGGAGAATACGACTCCCATGAGTCCAGCTGTGATGCTTGGACCACCGGCTAAAGCCACGGTCCATCTGGAGTGAGCCCTGGACCTCAGATGTTTTCAATGAGTCCAAGTGCAGAAGGTCAAGATCATACAAGTGTGGTACCCAGTTCGTTTTTGGTTCCTTCTTTGGCGAATGCACCTGGTTTGAGTGTGTTGGACCACCATATGCATGTCATTGAGTTTTGACCTGCCAAGGTTGGCATTCTGGTCCTGGCAGGTTGATGCTGGTCGGTTGTTGGCAGCGCGTTTGCTGCACACCCACGCGCGCACATGATTGTCCTGATGCGTCCCGTGATAGGGGAATGCATGTCTGGGAGAGGAACGGGTGGTTTTAAGCGTCCTACTTCCGTGCAGAACTGGTGAAGCGTACACTTACACCAACAGGGAACAGCTTCGGAACCGCCATCTCTTCGGTAATAAACTATGGACGTTGAGCTGAGTCGTTATCGTCGTGTTGTCGAGACGTTGCCGCCAGGAGTGTCCCGTGAAGGCCTTGAGATCGCCGCCAGTGACTTGAGTTTGATGCTCTTGCGGAGTCTTCCAAGGGAATGCCAGTCATATGTCGTGTTGCACTCAACAGGGGAATCGTATGCTGAGCAGAGGACGTTGGCGTTGAGGTTCGAGTCGCAGCAAAGAATATTTCAAGAGTTGAATGGTCCCACGACTGCGAAGCTGCGTGAGATGTACGCGTTGGAAGGTTGGTACGAGGAAGGCGAAGGTGGTGAGAAGGTGCTTCCGATGTGGCCAGAAAGGTCATTTGAGCGCAAACTGTCCAGAGCGCAAGAAGGAGGATGGATCACTGTCACCCACGAAAGGGTCACAGAAAGGCAAGAGGAAGTCAGGGAAAGGCAAGGATGAAGGAAGCGGGAAGGTAGCAGCGGGAAGTCCGGAAAGGCAGAGTGGAGGCAATCCAGGAAGTCAGGAAAAGGCAAGGGTGGAGGTAAGAAAGGCAAGATGCATGAGGTGTCGAGGAAACAACATTGGTGGAAGAGTGGTGGGACGACAACTGGGGCGGGCAGAGGATGCTTGGTATGATGAGGCTGAAGAGACCGCTAACGTCGCGGTATTGATGCCGCTTTTGATGAGTGACCCGTTGTTGATCAGCAGCGCGGCGATGGCAGAAGGCCATTGGTGGTTGCTTGATTTAGGAGCGTCCGTGTCAGTGCTATGCAAATTACCAGTCCCAGTATCGCACACGTCAGCTGGAGGTGGTAGGAGCAAACGCAAGGTTTGTAGCCGCGAATGGTTCGGAGGTTGTGATGTCATCGCAGGTCGCAGTGCAGTTTACAAGCAGCTGTGTGAAGAACAACTGCTTTGAGAACAGCAGCGCTCATGTTTAAGCGCTTTGTGTAGCTTTAGCTGTGAGGTTTTTACGTTTTCAGTGTTTGAGCAAACGTTCCTTGACGGAACTTTGTGTTTCGAAGTGTTTTGAAAGGTTGTGAACAGAAGTCTTTGTAGCTTTTGTAGTGTGAATGTTTCTTGAACAGTTTGTGCATATTTGAATGCGTTTAAGCTCGACACTTTCAGTGTCTCACGTGGGAATAGCTTGTACGCAGGAATACCTCATAGCCTTGTGTACTTTACTTTGGCTCAGAGCTTGAGCAAACCAGAGCTCAAGGGGTGCGCGTAAAAATGGTGCGAGTGCTTTTGCGTTGCTTGTGAGCTGTTGCACGTGCTTTCGTTTTGTGTTTAGGACGTTTGTAATCTACTTGCTTAAGGTAGTAGGTTTTTCAGGCTTGTAGGAAACTTTTGTGGGACACTCTAGGTCACTTGTGGGACATTCTCTCATAAGACACTATTTGTCTGGTCACAGGACACTCTTGTGGAACACTCTTGTGGAACATTCTTGTGGGGACACTCTTGTGGAACACTCATACAGGACAATCTTGTCGGCTTCTTGTGGAACACCCTTAAGGGACACTCTTGTGGGTCACTCTTACAGGAAATCCTTGTGGGACACTTTTGTGGGTTGTAGGAAACTCTTGTGGGACACTTGTAGGACACTCTTGTGGGACACTCTTGTGGGACACTTGTGGGTCACTCTTGGGGAAACTCTTGTGGAACACTCTGAAAGAACACTCTTGTGGGACACTCTTTCAGGGCACTCGGTCTTGTAGGGACACTCTTGAGACACTCTTGTGGGACACTGTTCGGGACACTCTTGTGGAACACTCTTGTGGGACACTCATACGGGACACTCTTGTGGGACACTCTTGTGGGCACACTATCTCACCAGTGACACGCCGCGTTTTACACATGTGTCGCACTCCCCAGTGGCACGGTGCGCAGAGTGTGTCACTAAGTGCCTGGTTCTCAGGTGGAATGTTGTTTCTGATGACTTGGCGTTGGAACTGATTTGCGTTCTTGGTCCTTATGGAAAGCTGCTGCGTTCAGCAGTCTGATTGCGGCTTTGCACGCTTGGTGCAGGCTTGTTGGCTGCAATGCTTGCAGTGGACACCCGCTATGGGAACTGTAAAGCCATAGCGGAGCTGGTCAGTCCGGCACCAAAGACTGCTCCTTGGAACTGGAAAAATACAAAATGCGGCGCGCGTACTGTCTCTGGTCGTTCGGCAGGGTTGTTTCGTTGCATTTGATGTTGCTGTTTGATGCATGTTGTGAAGGTTTTGAAAAGATATTGTTGAGGTTTTGCGCTCACGTTCCCGAGTCTGCCCTCCATTGGGCCAGAAGCCGGAACCGTGGCCAGACCCGACCGTTGCTGATGGTGCTTCTGGCTCAAACAGGCTTGAATGGACCTTGGGTTGATCATAGTCATAGTCCTTGTGGCTGCGGCACCAAAAGGCACTTTAAGATGAGGTTGGAACCTTCACCGAACAACGCATGCTAATGAGCTTGCCGGAGCAAGGCCGCTTTCCTGACAGCTCAACTCAATAATAACTGCGCAGCGGAAGTGTGGTTCATATCCTACCTTAGAAATCTTCAAAAGGAATATCGCCGCATTGCTGCTGAGTCGCACCACTGTGAGGTGGATGCCAAGGGACTCTTCCAGAGATGCTGGCGAAAAATGGTAGAACACTCTCAGACATACTCCCTGAGAGATGACGTGTTTATGTCCAGAGGCCGTGTTTGGCATCACTGTCCAAACTGCCCGGTGCTCGAGCGACAAGCGCTGAATGACCATCCTGTAAGCCACTGCGCAACATGTGCTTCGATGCCAGCACCGCCCGACGTGCTTCATGCCCAGAGCTGTCGAACTCTCAATGACGACGTTCTTCACCCATCATGGGATGATCCACTACGAAGACCGCATGCTGGAACAAATTTTTGCGTGTTCATCCTTTTCGCCAGTTTTTCTAAACCAACTTCTGTTCCAGTTCTTCCCTGTTGTGGTCGTTTGTTTCCTGTTTTTTTTTCTTCATTCCTTTTGAATGTCGGTTTTGACATGTGCCAAGTTCATGATGTTGTTGAGAGGCCTGATTGTTTCTGCAGGTTTTTCACATAGTCCGAAACGTCAAACGTTTTTTGCAAAACGCATCGACCTGCTATGTTTTGCTGGTTTATTGCCCATAACCCTTTCCAACTTTTTTGATGCCGCCCTCATCTCTAGGTTCAATGCTTTTTAGTACCAGAAGCACTGGGTGATGCTAACTTGGCATGCCAGATGCGAACAGTACCCTTCACATTCGGCTTTTGGTCTGAATAGGGGGGGCTGAAACAAACCCACCAAAGACTGTTGGACACATTAAATAAACGTTTTTCAGTTTTCTCAGACAGAGATCCGAGCCAATCCGGTACAAACAAAGTTATGGGCCAATGCTCTACTTCACAAGACGTTCCAGAACCAGTGCCTTTGCGAGGCTGGCCGTGGCATGACCCACCAGCAAACCCCCTTTGTTTCCTTACAAACATAAAAATTAGAGCATGCATTGACAGGTTGTATACTATACGCTGTTCCTTTCAAGGTGATGGGCCATGGTTCTTGAAAGAGACATTTTTCATTTTGTGACAGGATTCTTTCTGAACATCCGAACATATCTAATGGTTGATAGGTGCAAGGAAACATTCTTCGCGAACGAATGTATCCTCAACTGACCTGTGATTTGTTTTGTGTCAGGAGGTGATTCCTTCGCCTCAACTGACCTGGCGAATAGATTTGAGGCGCTGAGAATCAACATGGACATGTTTTTTTTGATTTTTGGCCAGATTGATTGCAGGAAGCCGATGGTGGACATGTGGTTCTGGTGCCTAGCCGGGATGTGGATTTAGAGGACCGCATCAAAGTTGTGATACATTTTGCTGAAACTTGCGGATGGTATTTAGGCCAAGTGTCATGTTTAAATCTAGATTGATTACTTTGTTCGTGGCAATTTACAGGGGCGGGAAGACATTGCTGGAGCTGCTGTCAGGCAGTCAAAACCCAACGAGCAGAGGTCCACTTCTTAATCAACTAGTATTTGCTTGGTTGGTTCTCGTGTGTGTATGTTGTGTGCACTTTGTCAAGCATTGTTCAAGGCAGTCACCGCTTCCAACAACGTGAACCGCTTGTCGGGCATGTCTCGGAGACCTTTCCAAAGCTAGAGTTGAACTGCCCCACAGGGTGCTGACTGCAAACGGGGATATCATTTCGTATCTTTTCGTCTTGACGAGTATGCTTTGGTCTCAGCGTAGTTTCCAATTTTGAGTTTTTTATTAGAAATGAGATGAAATGAGGTTCAACAGACCAAGTTGATTCGACCAAGGAAAACCACTCGGCACGCCTTGGAAGAGCCGCCTGATGTTCGCACCAGCTTTCAGCGACTATCGACGTCTTTGCGTTTGTCTCGAATGGGAACAATGAAGCGAAACAAGATGATCCACGATGTCAAAGCAGCAGAGTCATCGCAAGGCCAGATATCTCCTTTTTTCACGTGGCAGTGATGGCTGAATACCAAAGGATTGTTGCAGATGTCAATAAAGGTTAAACCTGGAACAGGCCTTCAAGGAGCTAGCTTGGAGAAGCGCCTGCAGACTTTTGGCATGTGCATGTCTTAAAGACATTATGAACCTCTGACACCGTGGAGTACACGTGTTTTTTGCATCCTTTACTCGATTGTCCTGCAATTTGAGCACGTTTGTCAGATTGTTGAGAAGATCGACCGAGGCAGATGGTTGAAATGGCTGGTGATGGGAATTGCCAGCACCATGGCTGTCCAGAAGTCCTGTGTGGCCGTGATAGAGCTCGCAGACATGGTTGAAACTTTGAACTGAATGGCCGAGGTTCAGAACTATGGCTTTCAACCTCTTTAGGAGCCAGGTACCGCCATATGAAGAGGCCGAATGTCGCTCGCAGTCATCAGTCATGTCAGGAACATCATGCAGCTGTGCGCCAATCAGCTGTAGCTCATATGAGGCCCGTGACCCTGATGTAAAATTGTTTGGCAATAGCAGTAATACGAGGAGCAGTGAGAGATGCCAGGAAACATGCAGACTTCTTTGGTGTTTTCTTTGAGGACGAGGCTCTGGAGCTTTCATTTTGAAGTAACCCTAGAGGGAATCTAGGGTTTCAAATCAATTTTTTTGCCTGCAAGTGCTTCTCACTTGCCAGGCAGAGTTTGGACACTATTGCAAAAATATGGCACTACATGGAACTTGGGGAGATGAACTTACTCTCCGTGCTGTTGTTGAAGCCTATGGATGCATTGCGCACGTCAAGTGCTTAGCGCAACAGCACTCAGCAGTCTTGAATTCGTGAGCCAACTGGGCCAAGGTGATAACCTCAGAGCCTACAAACTGGCAGCTTGGCCGATTAAAAGAATTCCAGGTTGGAAGATTTCAGCAATCATTAGCAAGCTGTGTGTGTAGACCAATCAATTCTTTCTGTTTGGATGTCCACCACGGGTACGTGTTCTTGATACCACACCAATTTCAAGAACTGCGACTGCGTGGTATTTGTCAAAACATGCACAAACCTATAGAGCTCTATTCAAAAACCATATATATATATGTATATGTATATGTTAGAGAGACGTTCCGCATTTATTTCGTTGCGCGTGTCAGTTCGCACAGAAACTAAACGTCCAGCCATTTAGTTTTTTTAGTTTTCTTTGTAAAACTACAGGGCTAGACTCCTGGACATTTAGTTTTTTTAGTTTTTTTAGTTTTTTTTAGTTTTTTTAGTTTCTTTTTATTCAAAAAAACTAAAAAAACTAAAAAAACTAAACGTCCAGCCATTTAGTTTTTTTAGTTTTTTTAGTTTTTTTTAATTGAGAAAAACTAAAAAAACTAAAAAAACTAAA